AGGATCCCAAATAATGCCAGAGTCCCTGCAATTATCCCAAGCTAAGTTTATTGAATATAATGGAAAAGACCCCAACATCGATTATCACTTATATTTTATTGCTTTGTATCAGATCCCTTGGATCCTTAAATGGATATATGCAATTTCACAAAATAATATCCAAAATTATGAATACATTCCATGTGTTGGGAAAATAATTTCAATCAAATGGTGGGAAGTCTTTGTCTACCATAATTTGGAGCCTGGTAATATTCAAATGAAACAAATTCCATTAGCCTACAAATCATATTCATATATCAACCCAAATAGCCTAGCAGAATATATATCCCTTATGAGAAAGCAAAACCCAAAGGCTACAAAAGCAGAGCTTGAACAGCAACTATTACAAATTTTCACTGAAGAAGCAAAGACAGCGCAAATTCACAATGAAGAAGGAAAAGAATCTGAAGAAACTGAAGACTAGTCTGCTCATGGTTGCTCACAGAAACAGACTCTGTATTAACCAGACCCGACTCAAAACCCAAACCCGGTTGCCCAGCAAAAAGAAGTCACTTCAAGAAAAAGACAGTTACCTGTGCAAAGATTCCTCTTTATCCTTTACCGACACTATACGACAAGTAACAATGCCACGTGGATTCCACAACCAATAGTGCCGACAAATCAGCTACAGAAGACGGCCACTGAAAAGATTCCTTCCCTTTGTGAGCCATCCACTTGTCCATCCCTTTTATAAAGCAGATTCCCTTCATCAATTGCCATCCACCTGTCCATCTACCTTTATTGACAAACGAATCTCAAGCATCCACCTGTAAAGCAGCCAGCAAGACAATTAATTGGTTTTGAAGTCCGACTCACATCCAAGCCTATAAATAGCAGCAAGTATCCTTCAGAGAAAAAACACATCAGAGAAGCATCAGGGACTTCAGAAGTCCCTTCCTAGTTCATCTCCATTTTCTTTCTCTTCTCCATCTTCTTTTTCTCTCTTTCTTTCTCATATCTCTTTCCCTTAAAATATATGTGTGATTGTAACCTTAGTAGGTTACCTAGTTATTGTCCAAGCGAGTGGAGAGCTTTCTGCAGCTACTGCTTCTGTAACTGTAAGCTTTCTTTCTTTCTGTAATTTGTTGTAATAAGTCTGTAAATAGTTTGATAGTACAGTCTGTTAGAATGTGTGTTATACAGTCTGTAATCTCTGTATAAGGTTGTCTATAACCTCTGTAATCCCTGTTTCTATTTTGTATTATACAGTCTGAAGTCTGTATCATACAGTCTGGAATCTGTATAAGTTTGTTTCCATTCTTTGTTAATAAATGCTGTGTTATAATGCAATTTAGAGCAGTATTCAGTATTAAAGTATACCAATCTTATGCTACTTGGATATTGATTGAGATATCTCCATTCTCATTGCTTGTTCTTATTAGCTTATTAATATATCTAGGATATCTTAGATTGTTATCATAAAATAAAATAAATAATAAATAAATAATAATTGTGGGATGATCTTGGCGTGGTATCAGAGCCAACCCCTTAACAATTTAGCTAACAAAATTATTATTATTTTGAGATCAGACTTTATTAGCTAGAAACCTAATTAAATTTCCCATTAGAGAAAGTTGGTTCGAGAGTTGAGGCTAGAGACACCTAGTCTAAGAGACCGTTAAGGCCAGGAGAGCCGCTGAGGTCAAGAAAGACGTAAGACGTGCGCCCACTAGCGCACATAATGG